GATCTTGCTGAACATCGATATCGAGCATGTCATTCTCCAAACAGGTTGGGTTGGTCTAATACATATTTTGCTACTTCATATCGTACCTTTTTGTCAGCTATTCACTCTTTTTCAGAACCTCAGTCTTACAAAGAGGCATGTCAAGATCCTCATTGGGTTCACGCTATGGAGGATGAGTTGTCTGCTCTACAGAAAACTAGTAGTTGGGAGCTGGTTCTTTTGCCTGCTGGTAAGAACTTGGTTGGTTATAAATGGGTTTACAAAGTCAAGACTCATTCTGATGGGTCTCTTGAGTGCTACAAAACTCGTTTGGTTGCCAAAGATTTCTCCCAAGACTATGGTATTGATTATGAGGAGAGATTTGCTTCTGTTGCCAAGATGACTACTGTTTGTACTTTGATCTCTGTCTCTGCTATTCGTTCTTGGCCTTTTTTATCAAATGGATGTTAAGAATGCTTTTCTTAATGGCCATCTCACCGAGGAGGTTTACATGCGTCCTCCTCCTGGCCTTTTCTATTCCTCTGGCCAAGTTTGTCATCTTCGGCATGCTCTGTATGGTTTGAAGCAGTCTCCTCGTACTTGGTATAATCACTTTTAGACTGCTGTTACCGAGCTTGGGTTTCGTTCTTCTACTTCTGACTCTGCTTTATTTCTGAGACATACATCGGTTGGTTTTGTTGCTCTCTTACTCTATGTGGATGATATGATCATCACTGGCTCTGATTCTTCTGTTATCTCTGAGGTCAAACAGCATGTCTTTCGCACCTTCGAAATGAAATATCTGGGTCGATTACGGTATTTTCTTGGGTATTGAGGTTGCTTCTTCTCCAAAGGGCTATTTTCTGTCTCAGGCTAAGTTTGCTGATGAAATCATTCACCGTGCTGGTCTTACCGATACTAAGGTTTCTGATACACCTATTGAGCTTAATGTGAAGCTTAATTCTACTGATGGTGTCCCTCTAGATGATCTCACTTTATATCACGAGCTTATGGGTTGTTTAGTTTATCTGACTGTCACTCGCCCTGATCTTGCTTATATTGTTCATGTGGTTAGTCAATTCGTTTCTACTCGTCGCTCTACCCATTGGGCTGCTTTGGTTCACATTCTTCGCTATCTCAGGGGTACCATATTTCAGGGCTTACTATTGTCCTTTACTTCCTCTTTGGATTTGGTGGCCTATGCTGACTCTGATTGGGCTGGTGATGTTACTGATCGCAAGTCTACGTCTGGTTTTTGTATGTTTCTTGGTGATTTCTTAATCTTTTGGAAAAGCAAGAAACAATCAGTCGTTGTTCGCTCTACTGCCGAAGCTAAATATCGTGCTATGGCTCATGCCACTGCTGAGATTGTTTGGCTTTATTGTCTTTTGTCTGATTTGGGTGTCTTTTAGTCTTCTCCGACCTCTCTCTATTGTGATAACCACAGTACTGTTCAGCTTGCCCATAATACTGTCTTCTATGAGTGGACAAAATTGTTTGCCAACATCTGCAGTCTGCCTCTATCTTGCTTCTTTTCAACCATTCGGCTTTGCAGTTTGCAGACTTCTTCACCAAGACTCACACTACTGCTTGGTTTCAATTTCTTCTTAGCAAACTCTCCGTGTTTTCTGCTAAAACACCTTGAGTTTGAACGGGGGTGTGATAATATATTGTGAATATATTGTTAATCTTACAAGCTAACTTAGAGTCCTATTAGAGGCATGATTGTATTAGAGTCCTATTAGAGTTATGATTGTATTGTATTTCCTTTTTGGTTTAGGAGTTAGGGCTATATATTCTAAGGTCTGATTGTAATCAAAGATACAATTGAATATACAGAAATACAGAAACTTACAGTGCTAGCCCGATGATGAGCATATTATTGGATGGCTTTTGCAGAAGCAACTACAAAGCTACGCTGGAGCTTCTTTTGCAGACCTCTTTAGTGTACGACGAGTTTGATGGCTGCTGGGAGGAGGCCACGGTTTGGGCTACTGCTATTCTATTGTAACTTGTTGGACGTGTTATGATGTTTTTAGGACAACCTGTTTGCTGTGTTAGATCAGTAGGACATGTTTAAGTTTTATTTGAGTTTTTTTTTTTGTCTGCCATATGTCATATGTCGTGAAGAACATACTTGCGTTGCACTAATGTTGGTTGGTTGCCTTGGACTAATTTTTTTAAAAAAAGTTCTGAATGCAGTATGGAATGGATGGTTTATGCATGTTTAATTGACAGATTGCACATTTTTTAATGGTTATTCTTCTTTGGTCACATTTATATCTTACCCGTTTGTGAAATGGTTAAACAAGTTCACAGTTACAATAATGATTTTAACATTGGACATATGTGTTGTAGGCCTCGCTGAAGTTGTGGCCATGTCCAACGGATGACTTCTTTGAGCAAATAAATCAAATGATTGTATAGATATAACAACAAAATAATTGGATGTACGTACAAGCATGTCGGTATGTACAAGAGTATTACGAAAAATACATGTTAAAAACTCCATGTCGAACAGCAATATTGACTAGACGTGCATGGATATGTGAATTATTCGATGGACACCTTGGCTGTTTTGAAGAAAATGTATGTATGTCAAAGGAAGTATTTTCTTCATTGTGAGACACGTTAGTTATAGATTTTAGTTTATGTGTTTGTCAACGTAGCCATGGATTAGCCATGGAAGAAAGCGTTACAATGTTCATCCACGTGTTGAGAGGGTTTAAGAATAGAGCCATCCAAGAACGGTTTTAACATTCGGGGGAAATTGTATCACAGCACGTTCATAACATTTTGAAGGCAATGAAGAAGTTTATAGTTATACATTGTAGGCCAACGACAAATCAAAATGTTCAACATCTTTACTTGCGGTAAAAAATGAAATACCTACCATTCGAGGTATAACTTTCATATCTACACAATAACATACAGTTTCTTTACGTCAAAGCTTTGGCATATATTGAATTTTGTTTTTCTGTTTTATTTGCAAAGCAGGATTGTATCAGCGTGTTGGATGGCGCACGTGTTGTTGTGAAAGTGACGGGGCCTGATACAACGATATATGTTTGACGCAAATACTGTCACACCCAAAATATCATGGCCATGCTTGATTTCGATATTTGTTTTACATTCGTATCACTTGGATGGGAAGGCAGTCTGCAATACAGTTGAATTTTTGTTGAAATAATCAACAATGAAAATGCGTTGTTTCCGCACTCGGAGGAAGGTATGGACAACTTTTTAGAAAATGGTGAATATGTAGTTGTATGGAGGGAAAGCTTACAGTGTTATTTGTTTACATCCGACAGGAAAATATTATCTCGTTGATGCTGGCTATCCTAGCCGAACAGGTTATCTCGCATCGTTCAAGGGCTACCGTTATCACCAACAAGATTTTCGGTGAGGGGAAAGGAATGCAGTGAACCCACAGAAATTATTTAACAAGGTATACTCCCTGTTGCAGAGTGTCATTGAATAAACGTTCGAGGCATGGAAAAATCAATGGGGTTTATCAAAAATATGTCTCGCTATAATTTTGCGACTACGCAAGTGCATTTAGTTGGTACGTCGATGGCTTTACATAACTACATACGTAGAAATACTAGCAATCCAACCACTGTTCAGCTAATAATAACTGAGGACGACGCGACAACCATAATCAATGCCATACCTTTGGCAGCACATGGAGAGAATGGATTAATGGTTGGGGATGTTGACCCACATATGGCAAGCGTGCTCCTTCTCATAAGAGATCGTTTGGTCTACATGCACAACCATGGCATGTTGGGAAATATATTGAGGGAAGTCTGTAAATTACATTGAATCCAAGGCAATTTTCGTTGTTATTTGTACTTGTATGGAATTATAGCACCACGTTTAATATTTATGGTATAGTTGGTACATACATTATGTATTTAAGTATGTACGTTTCGAATATGGTAGGTTTATGCATTGTCCATTGACAGAGAAGTAATTACCAAAAACTTATTGTGGTATGTATTAATTGACAGAAAAATAATATGAACAAACTTTTCCCGTATATGGAAAATAAATTTCATTAATTAATGTATGTGCGACGCTTTTTTTTTTGATTGGGATATGCAAAAGTGCCCTGGTGTTTTGTTGGTTGATGTATGAAAATGCCATACTGGAAGTGTACATAATTCTCCAAATAACACAAGATACTAGTCACATACAAAATAAATTTTCCCTTAAGTACAATCCATTGTCACAGTGGAATTAAGAAGTGTACATATTTTTGCTATTGGAAATCAGCAACCAGTACAAACAAAATTTGATAAAACGCACAACAAATGGAAAAAAAAAAAAATTATGCAATTTTGTAATTCCGTTGCAATTTCTGTGACAAAGTAAAAAATTGGAGGTGTTTTTTGAAATATCTAACTGGAGGGCAATTTTGTCATTTTAGTTTTGGAAACACCATTTCCAATGCCAAAAAACCAAAAAAGCCAAACCACAAACCAAACAAACTTTTAGTCCTAAGCTAAAAAACGTTGAAAAAAATCAAAAAATCAACTAAAAAAATCATTGTTAAACGAAGGTTAAAATATAGAAAAATTTACCCATAAGTCCTAGTTTTTGAAACGTTGAACCATTTAGTTCTAAAAATTTTCTTATGCTCCATTTAGTCCCATTTTTACATCAACATGATGTGAATGATGTAAATGATCTGATGTTTCATTCTATAATTTCAAAATTTATTGAAATCTGATGAACATTAGATGTTTTTCATCCTATATTTTCAAACATTATTGAAATTTGATGAACATTAGATGTTTGAAATCCAATGTTTGTAACATGACTCTGATATTATTAACATTGTATCTGATGTTATTAACATTGTAATGGGACCTTTCAGTCTATAAGATGTTTGGAGGACCAATATGGGCGGCAATTTTAATTTGTGTAGTTTTTACCCGAAAAACACCATTATAGCTCTCTGTAATGCACGACTATACAACAAGAAACAGGCCATCCCCTTCATGCAGATTGATAGATTTCCTGAGAACGGAAATAAATTTTCCGACCAGCGAGAAAGTAAAGAGAAGGCATTACAGAGCACACAAAAATATGATGCAATATCAGGAAACCAAGACAAATTACACGTCCACAGCAGTTATACACTGAGTCGATAGGATAATTATAGCTCACGCTGTGTATAAAATGAATATTAAAGAAAACATGCGTACCCAGAATTGTCCATGTTCAAAAGTGCAAAATGTTCATATAAATGATGAATCTCTGCTGTAACAGCAAATTGAACAGTACAAACCTTGAATGACAGGATTTCTTCTCCCAACAGGCCAATCATCCCACTCCATGCAAAAATCAGAAAGCACGTGTCTCCAGTATCAATAAAGCATCCGAGCATATACTCTACTTAATACCTCCTGTGATACTCTCCGGTAAAGAAAGGGTGCCTCAGGGCTTCATGAGCGGTCACTCTGGTGGAAGGGTCGTACCTAAGGAGACCTTGCAAGAGGTCTATGAGATCTCCAGCTGAATGATCTACATATTGCATCACTAGATTCTGCCAATGGAAATTTTAAAATTTAAGAAGAAAAAAAAAAGAAAGAGGTTATGTATATGATGATGACCAAATATTGCAACCACCTGAAGACGGGGTAGCTTCAAAACGGCTTTGATGCTCTCCCGGGAGGTTGCACCCTCAGGCCAGTCCAATCTGCCTCTTCTGACATACTTTTCAGCGTGTCGGCTGAACCAATAATCAACACCAAGAAGAAGAAATTAACAATCGATAAATTAACAAGGAGAATAATATAAGACTTCTGGAAAGGGTACGCACTCTACTCTTTTCAACATATGCTGAGGTATTGGGCCTAAAACCCGCTCCATCATGGCCAGGTGCTCCAAGTTCTCGTGCGTCTGGAATAAAGCTTCTCCCTAGAAACAACCACATATTTAGCGTAAAGATATCCTCTAACTTGTTGGGGTATGTTTGACTTTTTTAATTTAATTTTATTTTTATTCAAATTTAAGCTTTGGTCTCGTTTGGAAACATGCTAATTTAGTAACTTTTTGACTATATGACTAAAATATGAGCTAAAAAAAACTAGTATGTTTGGGATGATTTTTTAACTTTTTATAAAAAGATGTGTAAAAAGTAAAAAGAAAAGAGAATTTTTGACTTTTTGGTATGACTTGTTGGCCTTTTGATTTTTTTAGTGACTTTTTGGTTTTTTTACTAAAAAAGCCACTTGCCAAACAAGGCCTTAGTGTACAAATAAACTTATTTCCCATTCTACGTTAAAATGTGGTTAGAAAACTAATCTGAAGGCCAACATACGACTGACATTAGACATAATTCACATACTGAGCATAATTCCATCAAGATACAACCAACACTCCATAGATCAGAAGGATAGCTCCATCCAAGACCTGAAAGAATAGAAATAAGCTCTCACCCCATTCATTTATTTATACAAATATAATTATGACACGGACCCATGTAAAACTTTCAATGTAAACAAACACAGGACCAATTGGTATACCAAGAATAACCTCAGGTGCACGGTAATGCCTAGTAGAAATGATATAGTTGTGGTCTTGATGCTCGTAAGCTGTGCTACCAAAATCAATAACCTTAATAGCACTTGACTTCGGCAACCTCTTAAAACAAGATCCATCTTTCAGTGACCAGGATGCAACCTGTAATTGCAGGATAAGAAGCACAACAATGCATTCCATGTATGGAAATGTGAAAAGGAAAGGAAAACCAACAAATAAAATACGGAAACAAATGTAGAATCAGAAAATTTAAGCTTAATTTGAAACAACTAGCTGAGACGCTTCAATAACTATAGTAGTACCTTGTAGTCGGGTATTTTCACATAGTCCGGTGAAATAAAAAGTATGTTCTCAGGCTTCAAGTCTGTATGGATGAGGCGCATATCATGCATAACTGAAATATTTAAACCAAAGCCAGCATAAGCATTTGAAATTGCATACGAATGCCTTGGAGAAGGAAATTGAAAATACATTTTTATACACACACACACACACACGAGTAAAACATTAGAGAGGTAAAAGGTAAAGGGTTCAGGTATCTTCAACTAGAATTGATGCCAACAAGTTTGAGAAAAGATAAAAGAAACAGCAGATGTATTGACTACACACAGGCTACACATTCCAACACTTGTCTGCCAATCTCACGGACTAGATCAACCGGAAATGAGCGATAATTGTTTTTCCGAAGAAAATCGAATAAACTTGGTCCAAGCTTCTCAAAGACCTGTTAAGATCATTTAAATTCATTGACAAGTCTTAATCCCCCGAGAAATTTGTAAAGTTGGGGAAATCATGTTACCATAAATCAATTTTATACTTACTATACAAATATGATTACGATAATCAAACCAGTTCCGTATTTGAACGCAACTGCAAGGAATAAACTCACTTAACCACCCATGCATTGACCTTTAAAGGAATTAAAATCCAAAAAACAAGCTAATAACCCATAACAATGATGTAATGTAAACTACATGAGAGATTATACTAACCGACTGCCACTTCTATCATATCTACCAAGCAATTGAAGCACATCTACTTCTATTTTTGCTGCTTCGCGATACTTTTTAATGCTTCTAATAATTTTTATGGCAACCATCTCTTTTGCTTCCCTATCCCAGCATTCCAAAACCTGTCCAAAGGTACCTGCAGAACAGAAAAGATATATATGAGAAATGCATACTGTGAGGAGGGTGCGTTTAGATAGAATTTAACTATGTGCCTGAAAGAAGTGACAAGGCCAACCTTCACCAATTTTTCTGAGAATCTTATCTGCAAGAACAGAAAGCAAAGAGAATAAGGTAATGAAGTGATGGAATAGTTAGAAAAAAATTTGATAAAACAACGTTGAAGTACAAGTATTGAGTTCATTTCACTTCAACAGAATCAAATTAAAAGATTTTAAACGCAAACCAGGGGAAAAAATTAAATAACATAAAAAGAAGTGGAAGAGATCAAATTGTTTTTTTCAAAAGGCAACTAATGGCACTGAAAAATATCTTAAGAGCCCAAGCACAAATTTTTTTCAATACTTTGCATTTGTTTAATGGCAAATCATCCACAATATAAAAACTACAAATAACTTCAAAGCTGAAAAACTTTGCAATGAAAAATTGAATAAGTGAAAGACTAGAATGCAAAAGTTTCAATGTCATTGTGTAATAAAAAGGGAAGTAATTGACAGTAAAAGTCAAACATAGAAAATCAACAACACACATAACAAAAATGCTTCAAAACCAAAGATTCCTTCAACAGTGAAAAGGTGAAATTACAGCGCGGAGTTAAATTCTCTCCAAGCTCAAACACGTAATGTCCATCTTTGCCATCATCTCGCCATGGGGGAGAGCCTTTTTGAGCCAATCCTTTTACAAATAGACTAGCATGGTCTGAGGGTACCCTTGAATGTCCAAAGCTTGTCACATTTCCAATATCTTGCCCATAATATATTCCTGATTGGGCCTATACACACAGCCATCCATTTATATTCCACTAAAGAAATATCATACAAAAATTTTCTTTCTCCACTAAAAATTTATTCCTTTCTAACATACTACCACAATAATTATTAATGTTGCAAAAATAAATTTTATAGAAGATCATTAGCTAATATCTGCAAAGAACCACCATAAAAAACAAATTTTACAAAAATATGAATCCACAGCCACAACAGAGCCAATGATGTTGCTACGAAACGACAGTTAATATAGCATCTTCAATTTGCTTCCAGGAAAAAAAAGTTTCCCATGACAATCCAACAAATTTTTGTCAAAACAAATTGAGCATGAAAGATTATTATTCCCACATGTCAAACAACCAAATCTAAAGCTTTGTTTGATAACTCAATTAAGTGCTTTAAACTTGACACATTTAGGGGTTCTACAATTAAGTGTGTTTGATAACTCATAATCAACTATCACTTAAACATGAAAGTTGACTGCAAATAGGTCTTAATTTTCAGTAAGAGGCTTGACTTATCACTTAATGTTGAATACACACAGTGTATCCCTTTCATTCTCTAATAGTAATATATTTCTCATAAAAATTTTAAATTTATAAATTCATTACTTAGCACCAGAAATTTTAAGTTTTATCAAACAAAACCAAGCCGACTTCATTTGATGGGACTTAAGGCTTGGTTTGGCTTGGTATCAAACAAAACCAAAAAACCTAAATCTCGCATTTCACTTATTGTCTTACGTCTTCTCAGCAATAAAACAAGGCATCAACATATGGATAAGTAAACCATTCCAAACAATTTATCCATCTTTCCAAACTCATACAATGATACAAACTATTTCTAAAAATAACATATTCATTTTCCTAACAACTAGAACATATCAATTTTTTAAACAATCATGATAGAAATATGATTCAAATATAATGTACCATTCCTCATCATAACCAACAAATTTTGAGCTCCCACATTAGAATCAATGGCAAATTCAAAGCAATGCTAGAAATTATTCCCAAAAAAAAAAAAAAATCAATGTCTAATGCCGAAAGAATAAAACGCTAAGATGAATCAGACTATGCATTTTTTTTTTCTCCTCTTTCTCAAATCATCCAGAGGGAATAGCTAGGCTGTTCCGAAACCCAAAAAAAAGGTAAAGAATTAATAGCATTATTACAATGAACCGCAATTTATCGACATACCTTATTCAAACTTGATTGGGATAAAAATAAACCACAAATCACCTCCTGAATTTTCTCCATCAAACATATCAAGTTCTCATATCAACAATTCATTCAAATTTAAACATCCAAAGAGAATTCAGATGAACCCTAAAGCAACAATTGAACATCACAACTTGAAATCCAACAAAATAGAACAACCAAAACTTGATTCTTTCTAGGAAAATTTCGTTTTCCTGGAAAGAATTTTCCATCCAAACAAGCTAATACAAAAGATATTGATATGTATATGTATATTTGTATAATTTGAGAAATGTAAAGACTTCACCTTTGGGGTATGAGAGACGTCCCAACCTAACCTGGGACGCTTCTTCGGACGCCGATCCGTGTGAGTGTGATGAAATTCCGTCACGTACTCCATCTCCATAGATGGATCTCGAAACCAAAATGAAGAGGATGGAGAGAGAGAAACCCTAGCTCGGTATGAGATGTGGGTCGGCGGTAGATTAGCGGTACAATTTTCGGTGTCCCTGTAAACTTTTCCTTTTCCTGTTCCATTGATGGAATTATTCCCTTTTTATTCGTTGAATAAATAAATGAATACAGTAATGCTAGCTAGTTACAAATTTTGTGGCTCAAATGGTCTGAAATTGTTAAAATAATGTCATTTTAAGTGTAAAACGATGTAAAATGACATTATTTTGACAGTTTGAGGCCATTTAAACCACAAAATTTATGATCCTCAAACATTTTTCAAATGAAAAAAACATGACCCCACACCTGTAGATACCGGCCTAATCTGATGCCCAGCCCGACCCGGCCCGTCTTTTGAAAAGCTTGAAATTTATAATTTAGCCTATCGAATTGAAACAGCTTATCATTACAATATTGGGACTTTTGTTAATAAGCATTTGTAATGTTTATATATATATATATATATATATATATATCTATGTAATAAGGGAAGAAGATTTTTGAAAATGTATAAAATGTATGTGAGATAGATTTTGATCCAATGGCTGAAGTTAATTCCAAGTTTATATCAACGGTTCAGATGAATGGATCTCCCGCCCAAAGACTTCTCTCCCTAAAAGCATCGTTGTTGCCTTTCCACCTACCCATGTCTGCCTCCCCCCTTCCCTCTCTCTCTCTCCCTCTCCCTTTCCCTCTCTGTTCTTCTTCTTCTTGAATACTTTTTCTCATCTGTCCTTCACAGATACATCTCTCCTCAAAACTTTTCTCTCTTCCTCCTATTTCTTTCATGCGTTACTCTCTCTTCTCTTGCGATGACCACCGCCGTCGCGACACCACCGACCACCTCTCCTCTCCCTAGCTGGAGACCCAAACCGGAACCCTTTATTCTTGTCCTCCTCCCTCTCTCCTAGCCATAACCTTAATCCCTTCATCTCCCGCTCTCTCATCCCCCTTCATCACTTTAGGGCTTTATTCCTGTACTCTGTTTTTTACTTGCATTTTGCCCTCTCTCTCTCTCTCTCTCTCTCTCCCTCATCCCCCTTCATCATTTTTTGTTATGGGTTTTAGTACAAATTTTACATTGAAATATATAATTCTTTCTCACCTCCTTTTTCTTATTCTTCTTCTGAGTTCTCTTATTCCAAAAGGGGTCGTGGCAGACCACCTGGTTCTCTTCTTCTTTAGGTGAGTTCATCAAACCAAGCCTTTAAATTTTGGTTCCCACTGTCTTTTGGGATTTTGATTCTCAGACAATTAAAAGAAAAAATAATAATAAAAAATTGTGGTTGTGGTTTATATGGAATGATTCTATGAACAGGTGATGTTGTGAAAATTTGTTGAAAATATTTTTCTTTAAATTTTTGTGCCTGACATTGTAAATGCCTTTTTCTTAGACAAAATTGATATGAGTGATAATTAAAGAAAATGTTGGTACTGAGGATTAATTATCCACTTTAATAAAAATGGGGTTGATTTACTTTAGGTTTTTACCTCACATTTGATACCTTGATGATCTGTGAAGGTGAGTTGTTCGCAAACACAGCAGGAGTGGACTTTACACCCCATGTCGTAACTGTATACACAGGAGAGGTAATACATTGCAATTATTGGTTTGTTTTGACTTATTTAAAGTGGGTGAAAGGAAGATCTTTGTGCAGATCTGAGGTGTGTAATGTGTTTGTGGGTACATTACTTTTTTTATTACTTTTATGTTAGTTTATTACTTTTTTTGGATGTTAGTTTATTACTTTTTTTTACACAGGAGAGATAATCTATTAAATAGAGTCACCAAAACATATATGCTGTATATATAGATTTTTTTAAAAGAAGGAAATCTGCAATGTTTGCTTACATGGTTTTGTGTGCATGCTGCTCACATTTATGGTCATTTCAAAAAAGTAGAATAGAAAAGTTGACAGGAAATGATTTATTGATAGGAAGATTGATTTTTGAGTGTGATTGATTAAATAGGGCTCTGATTAAAGCACCTGCATATAAGATATCTGATTAGATTGTAATTCAACCTTCCCTTTTTGGTTTGCTTAATCAGTTACATAATAGTATGTCATTGTCAGTTAAATTTGAATCTTGCGCATTGATTGATTTCTATTTTAAAGAATTTTAGCAGTCACATCGCAAAATTTTTTTTTTCAAAAGAAGGATTTAATCTGATGTATTCTGTGTTTCCTGTTATGTAGTTTCCTTCCATGGCATCCTTGCATGGTGCTCTACCAAATGTGGCAGCTCCAGCAGGCTTATTGAGCACTTCCAGCCTCGGTACCCCTTCGACATCATGGATGCCGTCTCAGTCATCTTATATATCAGCAATGCCTGCCCAGGCACCATCTTTTACATATGCAATTCCTCCAGTTCCTTTTTTTTTAGTAGGGAAAATAAAATTGTATTTTCAACATATTGTTAGAACACCATTGGTTACCAAGATGAGTTCAATTTGTTAGAATTGAATAGGGAAGTATCATAGGAAGATTGATTTCAAGTCACATAGGCCCGTATACAATTCTTAAACATGCTTGCCCCCAAAGCTTTTTCATGATGTTTAGATACTAATTTGGAAATCATGATGTTTTCGTAGTGACAATTGCCCTTTTTCATTATTTTTGACCTCGATTACTATCCCTTTGCATCTAATTTCGGGTCTCTCTGACCTCGGCTGTCTTGGATTCTTCTCATTTTTTGGGTTTTCGGATGAAATCAATTCTAATTGCTATGCATATTTTTGGGATGAAATCGATTCTAATTGTTATGCTATGCAAACAATAATTTCTACTATTTTTATTTACATAGATCCTGAGGTCCAAGGGGTCTTAACTGCTGCCCAGAAGCACTGGCCTCACATCCATATATTTGATTCGCAGGTTATGGCAGATTCGGCTGTCAAGATGGTAAAAGCTGGTTGCCAATATATCACAGTTGTAGGAGTTGATTTTATGTCAGAAAATGTGCGGGTAATCCTTTATCAGGCTGGCTTCTTAAAGGTAGTCTTTTCCTCTTCTTTTCGTGTATTCTTATTTCATCACTTTGTCAGTTATAAATCCAATTCTAAAAACAGCTTTCAAGTTAACAGAGTAAAAAGTGCTACTTGGTCAACAAATATTTTAATTGAAGCATAGATTTCATATTTCAAGAACTAATAAATTAACATAATTAAAACATGAAAACCAAAATCCCATAATATGCATGCATTGAAAACTATTAATGTGAGGTAATTAGTTTTCTATCTCTATGTATATATAATGACTATTTTAATATAATACCTTTGTTCATATAACGAGAAGGGTAAAATTGTTTTTTTAAGACTTTACATTTTTCAGGAATGTTCTGTCACTTGGTTTGTTGCACGAGGAGCAATTAACAAATCAGTTGGTGTGGAATCCACTTCAATGATTATATAATGGATATTTCATTTAATAGTATCGGTACCCAATTTGTATACATATCATCGGTACCCAATTTCTTGCTCACTGTAGAACTGATGAGTGTTTTTTTGAGGTATATAAATATGTACTCTATTCTCTGTTAGTTGCAATATTGATCTTTTGCCAATACTTAACATGTGAAATTCAACGGTGCAATACTTAATTGTTGTGGTGCTATCAGATTGGTGGAGAAAGCTTGAGAATTTATAAGCGTGAGATTCAAGAAAATGTTTTGGAAATTGTTGGCATTTCCCCTGAGTAGGTGTGGAGACACTTAATGAATACTGGTTGGGTTGCTCAATTATTAATTACTAGGGCTGTGTTTTATCTCTTACATTGTAAATTATTTTTATATTCCCATCTAATGCAATATGTAAGTACCAAATTGGAGAAAGTGTATGTAGATCTTTTGAATTACCTGATATTAATATTATCATGGTTTTCATACTTCTATGGGCCAAAATTTTCATTGTACTACTAACAATCATCAATATATTTTCATGCATTGACCAATTCTTCAAGATATTAGATCACTGTGGTGTGCACACTACATTGAATTGAAACACATGTGATGTTGGCACTTTGAAAAATAGTTCCTGGCAAGTTTTGGGTAGATCACTGTGGTTTGCACACTACTTTCTGATTTTTATTTTCTTTTTAGTTAAAATATTTTTGAAATGATAGATACAGCCACATATATTTACCATTTAAAGGTGAGATCCAATTGGACACCACTTGGAACTTTTGAATTTCCTTAGATTGATGTGTTAATACTTATTGCTCCCAAGGAAAGGAATAGCCGAATGTTAAATCTAGAAACTATTGACCCATATGTAATATGTGCTCTATTTTGTCTACAGGCTGAAGCAAAATTTGGCTATCTTTTGGAGGCTTTAGACATGGGTGCTCCTCCACATGGTATGAACTGCTAGCTTCAGACATGGGGCCTTCCAACTTTTTGGGAGCAAAACCATGTAGGAATGAGATGCATCTCTCTTGAACTCTTTTGTATGCTTTTACTCCAACTTCAATTCCTCTTCTTATTTTCCTGTTGTTTATTCTCTTCTGTTTTAGAGTTCAAAAGAGAAGCGTTTCTTATATGATATTGTTGCAAGTATATCACTATCTCTTTTCACTTCCTTTGCTTTGTGTGTTTTATTTTGTGTTTATAATTTTTTTTTCTTCACTTTCTTAGCAAGGATGCTTTTATTTTTATTTTTTGTGTTGATATGAAGTTTATACTTTAGAGTCATAAAGTCTGTTAATAACACCAAAATGTTTTGTTATTTTAGGGTTCTGTTTTGGAGTTTAATTGGTGAATTGAGGAAACCGTCGAGTTTCATGATTTTGTTGTTCGAATTTGGTACAGCTGTTCAATTTCATGATTTTGCTATTTTACTATGAAGTTGAGGGCTTAGTTGAAGTGCTCTGTCTCTATAAAAATAGAGAACTGTCCTTTTGTGTTTAATGCTTTTATGATTTTTGCACAATCTGTATACAACTTCTATATGTATTACATTTCCCTTACTGTAAATTTCCATTTGATATGGACATTACTGTAAATTTCCATTTGATAACTATTTGTTTATGGACATGTTTGAATTATATTCATTGCTTCACTTTTAATTACTATGTTTTGCTACCCAAATCAGTGCATATTTAGTTATTTCAATATATATAGATATTGTTTAATTATGTTCACCGTCTTAATTCATTTCATTAGATGTTGTAATAAAAATAAAAGTAACAGTTAATAACTATTACAATTACTATTATTGTAGTTGTTGTTTATATCATTATCACTGTCATAATTCATTTCATTGGTGGGGACACATTGTAGTATTTTGATGGATATGGATATCATGGAGCATCACTTGAGCAAACATATCGATGTTACCCTGCATCTTTTATTGATAAGGTTGGAAAGCTTTCCTCAACATGATAATTGTTTTGTTTTGTTTGATTCACTTAATTAATTTGATTTTATTCATTATACGGTTTCAATTTTATGTTTTGTCATCTTTTCTATGCCCTCAACCAAATTCATGGCACTCTTTAATCAAATGTAAATGTAAATGAATTCTGGAAAATTAACAATTAAGATGATACCATATGTGCTCTTTCATTTCCCTTGAAAGCCTTCATGTCTTTCTTTACTCATTTTCGTGTCCACCCACATCAAAAAAAAAACAAGGGAGATGGAAAATAAAAAATATAAAAGGAAAACAGTGGAAAGGGGGAAAAAGACTGTAATTGTATGTTGTCTTTTACTTATTCATATTTGAATTTATAATTTATTTGTTTCTTTTTATTTTTCTATACATCTTTTCGTAAATGCTCTCACGATGTAACACCGTTAACCCTCACTTTTGCTCTGTTTACTACCCCTCTCTGTCTCTCATCTGTATCCATAATGCTCCCTCAATATATATATATATATATATCTATATAATAAGGGAGAAAGGTTTTTGAAAATGTATAAAAATATATGTGAGATACATTTTGATCCAATGGCTGAGATGATTTGTTTTTATTCTTTAAAGGCTGAGATGCTTTATGACATTTTCACATTTCCGCCCAAAACAATCCCTCTCTCGCTCTCTCTGCAACGTCCCACCCACCCACGAACGACAAACCCAAACATTATTTGCACTTCTCTTTCTCTCTCTCTCTCTCTCTCTCCAACTTCTCAGATCTCTCTCCCTCCCCCTCCTTTCCACTGCCGCTTCGCTTCCATCGTTGCGCCGCCTCCAAACTCCACCGACAGCAACTCTTCATCTTTTCTCCCTCCCAGATCGAACCCCACGTCTTTGAAAGCCCACTGAATTTTCTTTGAATCTCATACATCTTCTCTTTCGATTTGTTTATCCATTCCTCTCTAGGTTTTTAATTCCTCATTTCGATCCATACCCACTTTTCCTTTCTTTTAGATCTTCTCTCTCTAGCGATGTCTCTCTCTAAAATTTTGGCGGAGGAGTCTCTTTCGGTTGGGTACTAATTTCGCCGTACTGACGAAGAACTCATCAATCACTATCTGAAGTTGAAGATCAACAGCGATGAGAAGCAAGTCAGTGTTATTCGAGAGATCGATGTCTGCAAATGCGAACCCTGGGATTTGCCTGGTAAAACTACCCACATAAAAATTTAAAAAATTAAAATTTTAGGTTTTTTGCTTTGATTATTGATATATACTTGATTAAAAAGCCCTAATTTTGGGTTTGCTTTGATCTATTTTTATGTAGATAAATCGGTGATAAAGACAACCGATGAAGAGTGGTTCTTTTTCTGTCCTAAAGATCGCAAGTATCAGAATGGGCAGCGATTGAACAGAGCGACTCTGGCTGGGTACTGGAAGGCCACGAGTAAGGATAGGTCTATCAGGTCTCTGAGGGGAAGCACTGTGATTGGCATGAAAAAGAGAACTGTCCTTTTGTGTTTAATGCTTTTATGATTTTTGCACAATCTGTATACAACTTCTATATGTATTACATTTCCCCTACCGTAAATTTCCATTTGATAACTATTTGTTTATGGACATGTTTGAATTATATTTATTGCTTCACTTTTAATTACTATATAGATATTGTTTAATTATGTTCACCGTCTAAATTCATTTCATTAGATGTTGTAATAAAAATAAAAATAATAGTTAATAAGTATTACAATTACTATATTATTGTAATAGTTGTTTATATCATTATCACTGTCATTTCATTTCATTGGTGGGGACACATTGCAGTATTTTGATGGATATAGATATCATGGAACATCATTTGAGCAAACATATCGATGTTACCCTGCATCTTTTATTGATAAGGTTGGAAAGCTTTCCTCAACATGATAATTGTTTTGTTTTGTTTGATTCACTTAATTAATTTGATTTTATTCATTATACTGTTTCAGTTTTATGTTTTGTCATCTTTTCTATGACCTCAACCAAATTCATGGCACTCTTTAATCAAATGTAAATGTAAATGAATTCTGGAAAATTAACAATTAAGATGATACCATATGTGCTCTTTCATTTCCCTTGAACTTCATGTCTTTCTTTACTCATTTTTGTGTCCACCCACATCCCAAAAAAAAAGAAAAAAGAAAAGGAGATGGAAAATAAAAAATATAAAAGGAAAACAGTGGAAAGGGGGAAAAAGACTGTAATTGTATGTTGTCTTTTACTTATTCATATTCAAATTTCTAATTTATTTGTTTCTTTTCAATCCTGCAACCACAGATTGAAAATGGTGATAAAAGTAAGTTATCAAACTCTAAACACTTGTGTGTGCATGTATTAGCCTTCTAAATGTCTTATTTATTTATTTATTTATTTATTTATCTTTTCACTATGTTGTTGCAGTTATAATGCCTCCCTCAGCCCTTGACCGTCTTGGTTAGTTGATTTATTTGAAATTTTTTATGGTGGCTTATTATCTTTTGTGGTTAATTCAAAATTTTTTCCTATTATCATCTAAAATGCTAATATAAGACTCTATTCTGCAGCATCTCTTCATATTGATTATCCTATGTTGTTTGAACTTCGCAATGCTGCTACTGAGCGCATTTCTCATTGTGGCGTTCTTGAGTTCATTGTAGAAGAAGGCATGATATATATGCCTTACTGGGTAGGCAACCAGTAGTGTTTTTGTATACAAGTTTTGTGGTTTTGGTGTATTTTGCTGTGTACCAGTGTCATTGAGGAGTCTTTGTTTGCATTTATTCTCCATTGATGCACCCTATGTATTGCTTCATTGTAGATGATGGAGAATCTGCTCTTACAAGAAGGAGACATTGTGTGAGTGAAAAATATGACTCTCCAAAAGGGACATATGTTAAACTGCAACCCCATACAAAAGACTTCTTGGATGTATCCAATCCAAAGGCCATGTGAGTTTATGATCTTTTTGCTTTGATTTTGTTGTTAGTAGAATGATATTTCCTGGCCCTGGCATCATTTGGCCTTCGTGCAATTTGATTGTCATCTTGACCAATAAAAGAACATATATAACTCTGTAAATCTATATAATAAGGAAGAAAGGTTTTTGAATTTATCCTAGAGATAATTGTCCTACTAGGACATTTTAACAGTCATGATTCAATTGTGTATTTAGATAGACAGATTAGATAGACGGAATTTTGGTTTTTTATGTAAATGTTACATGTCAATACTTCATTCTCTTTTTATAAAATATTAACAAACTTTTTATAAAGGAATTTTTTTTTTTGTTTTGCCAAGTTTTATAAAGGAAGTTTAAGTTCAACATTCTTAAAAACTATTAGGGTAGGCAGTCATGTTTTAAAATGTAAAAATATTTTATATAATTTTAAAAAAAAATTCACCAACAAAAAAATCCAAATTAAATGTAAAAAAATTAACCCTTAAAAAAATATTGGATAAGGCAGCTTACTGCTTGCCAAACTGGTGCAGAATATTGTTTTCAAGAATAATTCTCTTCTAAATTAGTAATAATTTTTTGGTAATGGAAATGGTATAAATCTAGAATTTTTAACCTGGAAAATATTTCAAAATTTTAGTGTACAATATAAATTTAAAATTAGTAAAATGTAAGTTACACAATAATGATGTTGTTATTTTGAAAACAATGGGTGATCCAATTTTCAATGGAATTGGTATGGGAAGTATGGATCATGGAAATTGAACACGGATTGTGGAAAAAAATACATAGAAGGATATCAGATAAATGAGGAAGGAACCTTTTTTGACCATTGAATTATGACCATCCATTTTTGCCAATTAAATAGTAAACAACAAAAAATATATTTGGATAAATTATACTTTACTCATTTATGTTTAATCATTTTTTTATTTCAATTTTTTAGATTTTAAGTTTTTTTTCTAATTTAATCTTAAAAATAATTTTTGTTAAAAATTTGACAGAAATGCTATAATAACCATTACATAATGTAAATATTACCCTAGGAAGTTGCATCACGCAACAGGTAAGACTCAAACCCAAGCATCACCCCTGGCAAGGGAGCACCTCATCTACTGGCCCAATCCTTGGTCTTACTCTGGTACATACTTTATACAGTCAAATTTGAGAAAGTAAAGAGTCAGTATTGTAACTTCATTGTCCTGACTGTGGCATGAAAAACTCCCTTTCCCTTTCAATAGTTTAGCAAACTCCTAAACAGCCTTGCTAAGTTGGAACAATTAGAAATTCCAATTCATAGTCAAATGTGAAGCATGGCATGAATCTCTCGCTATTACAAATCCAGCAAGTTTGAGTTAAAATTAGACTGTCTTTTTGGAGTTGTTTTCAAGAATTTAGTGGTTCCTCTTGCACTGTATATTTTATATCACTGCTGCAAAAAAACTATTATTACCATTTTCGAAACATCCTTCCCTTTGTTTACTATTTCTCTTTAGCTTATACACAGATCTTAATGGTTTGGGTGTTTTGACATCGGCACTCTCTCCCTCACTCTCTCTATACAGTGTTTTGACATCCTCTCATTGGTCTTGGGTGTTCTTCAATTTGAAGAGAGATAGAAAAACAGAGTGAGAGAGTGAGTTAGTTTTGAAACTATATTTCTCTTTAGCTTATACACTGAGATCTTAATGGTTTGGGTGGGTGTTTTGACATTGGCTCTCTCTTTCTCGCTTTCTCTGTACAGTGTTTTGACATCCTCTCATTGATGTTGGGTGTTTTTCAATTTAAAGAGAGAAATAGAAAAACAAAGTGAGAGAGTGACTTAGTTTTGACACTGTAGTTCTCTATTAAATATATTTTTATAATTACATTTTAATTTTAAATTTAAATAGTGTTACGATTACAATTATATTATAATTCTAACATTATTTACACCGTGCCTTCAGGCACGAGCATACGCTAGTATATAAATAACACAAAATAATTTTCATTTATTTTTTTATAAAATTACTAATTTCATAACTATTTACCATTTTACTTATTTAGATAAATTACAAATACACCCTTTGAAATTTTATTGAAATACAAATCGCCTCATGAGGTTTTAAAAATTACATTTCACTCCCAAAATTTCTAATATCATAACAATTCGGCCTTTTTATTAATAAATCATTAAGTCAATTAATAATTTTTATTGATGTTAGAAATAAATTTCAATTAATAATTTAAGTAATTTTATTATTGTACAGGAGAATAATTATGAATTTTATTTTTTTTAAAAATTCTAACAAAAGAGTATTTAAAATTTTTTAAATCACAGAAGACAATTCGTACTTTAAACAAATCTCAGAAAATATATTTGAAATTTACTCTACTTAGTTTCAAAACACTCTTCCGAGTGATTCATACAACTCTCCCTTGAGACAATGAGAAAATTAGAAGTTTAAAGTTCGAAAGTTACTGCGACTCTTCGATATAATCTAATTTACTAACTTCCTAACATCTTATCATATAGCCTCAAAATATATATATATATATATTTACTCTTTAGCATTTACCATTAAATGAATGAGCAATAAGATGTTTGGAAATAAACTATTTTATTTAATTTTTTAGAACATGAAAATCAATAAAAAGAAAAGAAAAGAAAGGAAAGTGAGTAATATGATTGGGTGTTTTAGAACATGAGAATCAATAAAAATAACACTAATTGGCGAGAAGTGGACAGATGATCACCATACTAGTTAGGTAGGATAATATGACCACCAATATTAAAAAAATAATAATAAAATCTAAATTGACATGAGACCTTGTAATAAGAAATTATATGAATTCATACAATATAACCTCTTACAAAAAAATAAAAGAAATAACAATTATATTTGAGAGTTCTAATTTAAAAATTCTAATAGAATTCTAATGACGGGTTTCATATCATGATGTGATGTTTTGACTTGCTTCTTCTCTTTCTTTTTTTCTTTTTTTTTCTTTTTTTTAAGACATCTCACTTGAGTTCATGTTAGACCACTAATGTTAGAGTTCTCTATCACTATCCAAAAAATAAAAAAAAATTGACTAGAATTTAAAGTTGCGTTTGGTAAAAATTTCTAAATATGATTTGAAAATAGAATTATATTTTGAATTTATGAGTTTTAGAATTATGATTTGAATATGGAAAATTTATTTGGTGAATAAATTTTTAAAAGAGTGAGAAATTTTTAATGTGACATGATATTAATAAAAAAACTTACAACTCATAACCAAATACGCTAGGGGTGAGCAGCGGATATACCGATCCGCCAAAACCGACCGAACCGAACCGATCCGCCGCAATGTGGACGGATGCGTGATGACGAGCGGACGGTTGCGGATTGATCTATTGAATATATAAAAATTAACATGTGTCAAAAATACATTGTTCCAATTAACCAGCCGAACAACCAGTTAGTCCAAATTTTTCCACCTTGAACAGAGTTTTTAAAAGTGAGTGGAATTAATTTTTGAAACCTGTAAACAAATACGATGTGCAAATCAAAGCCTGAAACTAACACTCAAAAGTTCTACCAAACAGAGCCTCTGCACTTCTACCAGACAGTACATAGCAAATACTCACTTGGCCTCAGTAAACTGCCACTGGTGTAAACATAAACAAGATCAACTTTTGCCTAATAATAGGGGAGACTCGGAAAAAATGAAAGCCCTATAAACTACCCATTTCATGACTCTTTTGATTTTAAAATAACAAAATAAATATACAGGGAAAAAAAAAGGGCCGACTCAAATAAGAGGTTCAGAGAGCTCCATTTCATTTGAAATTTGTGGTTGTGTATCAGATCGTTGGAAACCAAGCAAGTCCAACCGCAGCCATTGCCGTGGCCAACATACATATCTAGGGCCACTTAGGCCCCTCGAGTTTTCTCGAGGGTCGAGCTGCTCGAGCTGATGTGTCAGCTCCTCAATCCTATCCCTGAGCCTCGACGCCCTCAAGTCCGCCAATCTCAAGGATTTCTCAGCCGCGTCTTTTACTGCCATGGCAGCAGCTGCTGTTTCTTCTTTGAATTTGAGCTTTTGCTCTAACTCCAACACAGCTTGTTTTGCCTCCTCGAGCTCCTGGCGTAGGGCTGACAACTGCATATACAATAAAGAATAAATCGTTCTATAAAACTGGAAAAATTGAAATGGAAACAAATTCATGGAAAAAGATAACGGTAATGCATGAAAACAATACCAATGGATATTCTCATGTTTGTATTTATAATGACATATTGAATTAATTGAACTAGTGAATTTGAGAAGCACAAATGTATTATCATCAAGCTAATACCAAAAGCCCTACACAACTGTAGACTTGTAAAGTAAGAAATTTCGCTATCCTCAACGCCGATATAAAATAATTAACTGCACCCACCCCTTGCAAGGCTACAAATGAACCGAGTTGTTTGTGAAAAGCTTGGCCTTTGGCTTGCTAATCAGCTTGTTCATGTTCTTTCAATATTTAAATGAGCAGAGAGCCCCAATAAATATACTCAAATTCAAGTTTCCTTATCTTACCTATCCAAGAAAAGGTATATCCAAGCCTGAACATAAACACCTCTAAGCTGGGCTTGACTGGCTTATCAGGAGCCCTACCCCTCGTAGATGCCATGCAAGCACTTTTAAACTAGGTAATACAACGGCATTGACAAGCCAAACTTTTGAGGACCTAAAACAGCGCCACATCGTCCTAAACACTGGGCATTATGCATTAGAAATTGCAAGATATAGGAGACACCATGCAAGCAGATATGAACCTCCAAAAACCATTAAAAGTTATTCTTGCAACCATAATGAATAGTACAACAGGCACAAGAAACTACATACCAGAAGAGCCACTACTCAAATATCTCAGCAAAAAGGTCCATTTATGTCGGCATACCTGTGCCACAAACTCTTGTTCAACAGCTTTGCCTGCAGCAGCTTCCTGCTGTGCTGCCACTTTCCATCTCGTAATTTCTTCTTCAGCAGCAGCAATATCCATCATAAGTCCTTCAACCTGAGATGTGAATCATATGGCCATTACTCGATGTAAACAAATTATACATACCTTCTTACAATACTTGCTAGACTCAGACTACAGATCGCTTTTTATATATTTACTTATAATACAAACAACTGAGTGAAAAAAGAGTAATCATACGGTTACCCAATTCAGACACAAGAACAATTGCGAAAAACTATCAACTTACATTTTCATTTGACACTCTCTCCTTCTCTTTAAGTTCCTCTACATGTTGCTTCCTATTGTTTAGCTCCTTGGTTTGAGCCTCCACATGCTCTTTGAGTAAACTTGTCTCTGCCCTTAATCCAGCAAAGAACAAAACAATCCCTGGTAACTACAGGTCTGATGCTAATAGATATTCCCAAGACACTACAAATATGGAAGTAACTCAACTATGCAACAAGCAAACCCATTCATGTGTTGCAATATGAAACAAATATAAAAATGAGGAAACTTCTTTTTTAATTTGTGTGCGTGCGTGCGTGCGTGTGTGTTGGTGGTGGGGGCGGGGAGGAAATCCGTTGATTTCATATTGAATATAGATCTATGGTTTTCTTGTTTCACTCGCTGGGGACAAATCCTCAAACATTTTATTTATGACTTATGAGTACAACTTATTTTTTGATGTCAAACAAATGTTATAACCTAAAAGTCCAAATAAAAGAATTAGCTAACTATTGAGTTTAAAAACAAGTTGGAGGCAACCTGCTTCAGAACATGTCCTGTAAAATGAAACAAATGCAAATGATTATATAAACTTAAAAAAGTCAAAACAACAGTGGCCAATGATTGAGTTTGAAAACAAGCTGGAGGCTAATCGAAGTATCATTTAATGCTGGCTGTTCATTTCCCTTGATGGTTGTCACTGGTAAATATGATCACACCACTGCGTTAAAAATGCTATCAAGGGTAAAATTGTTGAAAGTGTAAAATAAAAGTGCTAAATAAGGTTATCACTTAGTTTGAAAGAGTTATATAGTTTGTGCAGACACCATATTCAATTTTTTCTTTATCCAATTTCCTTGTCTTTTTCTATATTGCAAATCTACAATAAGATAAATCTAGGACAAATCACAAATTTTTCAAATCAATTGTCTGAAATGGAATGCAAGTTGAAACAGAAGTACCTTAGCTCCTCCACAGAATGCTGCAGCTCTATGATCTCAAGCTGAGATTGCTTAATGATATTGTCCAAAGCACCAGCCTGCATAAAGTGAATAAATAAATACCTCAGCCAACGACCACGAACGAAAATTTCAAAACATGAGTTAAAGCTACAAAACACTTACCAAATCATATATTTCATCTTTCCCATCCCCAAGATGATTACAAAATTTAAAATCTATCCCAGCCTCTCTGAAGCCATTTTCTGCAACTTTAAACAATTCATTTGTCTTTGATGACAAACCTGTTGTCATCCTTCTTGACAAAGCGAGTCTAAGACGAGACCCAATATGCTCTTTCTCCTTAACTAACCGAGAAGCAGTTTCGCTAAGACTTTTCACTTCACGACTCCTCTCCTCTACTAAACCCTTTGTTTTTTCAACTACAATTCTAGTTAACTTGTACATAGATTCCATCCCTGCTAATGAAGCACGAATATTCTCCTCCAAGCCTGTTTCTTTTGGTAGAAACATGGACCCCGACAAATGCGACTGGTCCATTTTATTAGGAACATCAACTATCTTGACAACATCATAAAGCCTGTCATGAATTTTCGATACATAATTTAAATGATCAACCAATAGAGGCCTTTGCGAGTCCATCTTCAACTCTAAATTCCTCAACTTATGATCATAATCACTGACCATTTGCCTCAGCCCCAAGACCTGCTTTTCCACCTCAGATATCTTCCCATCCTTTTCAGCTACAGATTTCTCCAAATTATCTATAAAACAAGTCTTCTTGGAAACCTCTTCTCTCAACCCATTAATCGTTGCCTCAAGCTGAGAAACTTCAATAGCAATCTCATAATTTCTCTGCTCCATCTGCACCCTGGCTTCATTCCTAGACTTGGCTATCGATTCAATCTGCCTCACAAGTTCTTCAACAATCTCATTCGTTCTCTTGATAACTCCATAAGCAACAGCAGACAAACCAGTGTACTTGTGAGACCTAGGCAATCCACCTGAAGTAAAATTCTTGAAATTGCTCACTTTTCTCGATATCATCTCAATCCCAGTCACCAACATCTGAGCCCCAGTCTCAATTGCTTTCGCAGACTCATCCCTCTCCTTCAAAGCAATGGCTAACTCTGTCGATAACTTCTCGTTTGATATTAAAGCATCTTCTTTCTCGCGCAACGCCTCGTCGCGCTTCTTGATCGCTTCATGAGCGATGATTTTTAGCCGATTGAATGATTCCTGCAATTCGGACTTCGAATTCTCCGCGAGAACCTCCCTAACCTGATCGTCGGCCTCGACGTCGCTCAAAACAACGCCGTCTTCATCTCCGGCGCTCGCCATTACTCTTTACAGTTATATATATATATATAGAGAGAGAGAGAGAGAGAGAGAGAGAGAGAGACACACACACACACACACACACCCAAACCTCCAAGTCACTCTAATGGATAGATCAAAAACAGCTCCATTGGAGACAAAATTAAGATTAATATGAATCGAAATATAGTAATTGATTAGTTGGAAACCCTAGAATGGGGGATAAGTATTGGTGATTATTGATTAGTAGATGTGATCAAATGAGTCGATATATTGATAGGTGGATCGAAATTGATCAATATTGGGAGAAGTGAGATTGATCGAAGCGTCGACTTGGTGATTAAGCAAGCATTGTTGGAGTGTAGTGTAAGTTTATGAAGATCGTACCTTCGAGAAGTCCGAGCGCCAAACAGAATACAGAGAGTGAATACCAAGAAACAAAACAAAAACAAAACAAAATTCTATATATATATATTGGCTACCAACCACTCTCTGTCTCTCTCTGTATTTCCATTTTTTCAAAAAATAAAAGAAAAACTGAAGTGAAAAAAGAGTGTGCAATTTGGCGCGTTGATGGAGTGCGTACACCATCGCCACCTGGAGGATTGACTATTGGACGGACGGGGAAGAGCTTTAGATGACTCACAGTGACCGCTTCTCAATGCGGTAGGATTCTCTAGAGTGATCCCTAGAATGATTTCTTATTGTAAAGCAGAGTAGCTCGACAAGTGTCCCACTCACAAAATTAAGAGTGGAAATTTAAATTTATCAAAATAACGTCGTTTTGATTAGTAAATTAAAAAAAAAAAATTCAAAATTCAAAATTCTGGATTTCACTTTTCACACAGTTCCTGTGTGAGAGAGAGAGAGAGAGAAGGGACTAGAGCTTGGCGGCAATATCTCCATCTTTGGCGATTGGAGAAAAGAAGCAATATTGGTGGCTTAGCAACAGAAAGGTATTTTAAACACCTTGATGATGATGATAATGATCAGATCGTTACATTTCGTTTCGTGATTTGCATTCAATCTCTAACATTTATGTATTTTTACACAGATTGTAGATAAATATATCAAAGATGCAAGAATCCTGAGCATCCATGGTAGAGGTTTTGGTGAGTTAATGGTGGATGTTATTGTGATACGAGGAGGTGCCAGTTATGGATGAAATGGGGTTTGGGGGGGGCTGATATTTTTTGGGTGGGAAAGAATGAAATGGTGATTGTCCAACTGTTGCGATTGGCGTTGATGCCAATTTGGGGCATCCTCTGTTTTTTGGTAGAGAGAGAATATGAAAGAGAAGAGGAAGAGAATGGAGAGGGGCTGTTGTTTTCATCATCATCATCATCATCATCATCATCAAGGCCTGACTAAACAGATCTACCTCTTTCAAGCATATGGATGGTTTGTTTGTATAGAAGCTAAATCAAGAGATTGTATTGATTTAAAAGAAATCGAAACACCTAAAATCAAAGCTTTGGTCCCTTCTGTCTCTCTCTCTAATCCTCTCCAAGAAGTGAGTGAAAAAGATGGAGATGTTGCTACCATTTCCGTGAGTTTTATTTTTAGTTTTTTTGGTTTAATTTATTCACCAAAACGACGTCGTTTTTGTGAGTTTAAATCTCAGCCCTTGAAGGCTGCGTGGGGACACGTGTCGGACTCCTCTCCTTCACTGTAGGAGATCACTCCAGAGAAAGACTCTAGAGGATCCTGACGCCTTCTGAATACCGTTTCGTAAGCTGACATATCACGATATAGCTATTTTAGGAAAAATAAGGATTTGTTTAGTTTATATCTTAAAATATAATTTTGAATTTTTTTTTTTAAATTTTGTTTAATTTAAATTCTTAAAAAAAAAATTCAATTTTTTTTTTATCTTTTTTACGCATCAATTAATAATTTTTTCTCTCTCCTCTCTCATTCTCATTCATTTTTTTTTCTCACACACATCTACTCAATTATAACAAAATATCAAATCATCCCAAACTCCAAAACTATTTTCAAAATATACAACCAAACAAACAAAAAAATTTCGACACCAAAACTCTCTCCTTAATTTTTTAAAAATTTATCTCAAAATACAAAGCAAATACATTGTAAATTTTCCCCAAATCAAAAAAAATATAATTACACTGCCATTTTTTTTATTATAACTATTTTTTTTAATTGTGATATTATTTTGCTTATGACTCATGAATTTTTTAGTTATGCATCAGGTTGCGTTTAGTTATGATTCAAAAAAATTTAAATCATGCTATTTTTTTAATTATAAAGTGCATATGGTATACACATTTTGCATGGTGTACACCATAATATTTCCCTCATACTAAATCAATTTAATATATAGATTCTTACTATTGGGGCCGGCTTCCCTTCAATCCAATCACGAACTGAAGGGTACTGTTGGGCCCATGGCGGCCCATCATGGGTGCCGTTTCAATAATCTGAACCGTTCAATGTGTAGAACTCGTTGAGTACAATATGCTTATAAAAAAAATACATTGATCGAATATCGATAGCTACGTAATCAAATCAGTTTTGTATATTAAAAAAATAGTTGTTGAAAAAATAAACGGTTGACAAAAATTTGATCCAATGAGATAGCTATTAATATCTAATCAGCGTGATTTTTTATAATATAGTACTCGATGAGTTCTACATATTGAACGGTTTAGATTATCGAAACGGGATCTGTGGTGGGCCTCTACGAGCCTAACAGTACCCTCTAGTCTAATCACGGATTGGAGGGAAGCCCAGCCCTTATTGTATATTCCCTTTTATACCTCATCTCTCTATACCTCTCCATACTCCTTTTATGTGTTTTAATTCAAACTTACATTAATGATTCGAATTGTCTATCTCCCAAGCCTCATAATGAAGATCATCCATGCAAAAAATTAACTTCATCAAAAGATTGTAAAAAAAAAAAAACAAAAAGCAGCTGTCAACTGCATCTTCCTTTCATATATAAAAACATATATGAAAAAATATGTTAATCCGAACCGTTCACATTTTAGAATACATCAAGTAGAACATACCTGTAAAAAATCAAATAAATCGAATACCGTTTACAATTGTTATTTATTTTTGTAGATACAAATGTGAGTGGATGAATGGGTAAACGATATCCGATTAACTTGATTTTTTACAGGTATATTCTGCTTGATGTATTCTAAAATGTGAACGGTTCAGATTATCAAAATGGGCCACGAAAATGGTCCAATTGGCTGCACAGCAGTGGCTGTTGTGCACCACCGCACCGCAGCCACACCAATTCCTCTAATATATTGGTGTGGCTGCTGTGCGGGGTGCACAGCAGCCACTGCTGTGCAGCCATTTGGGCCCTTTTCGGAACCCATTTTGATATTCCGAACCGTTCACATTTTAGAATATATCAAGTAGAACATACCTGTAAAAAATCAAGTTAATCGAATACCGTTTACCCATTCATCCACTCACATTTGTATCTACAAAAATAAATAACAATTGTAATTTATATACAAATGTGAGTGGATGAATGGATAAACGATATCCGATTAACTTGATTTTTTATAGGTATATTCTACTTGATGTATTCTAAAATGTGAACGGTTCGGATTATCAAAATGGGCCACGAAAATGGAGCAGCCACACCAATTGCTGTGCGGGGTGCACAGCAGCCACTGCTGTGCAGCCATTTGGGCCCTTTTCGGAACTCATTTGATAATCCGAACCGTTCACATTTTAGAATACATCAAGTAGAACATACCTGTAAAAAATTAAGTTAATTGAATACCGTTTGCCCATTCTTCCACACACATTTGTATCTACAAAAATAAATAACAATTGTAATTTGAAGTATTAAAATGAATACAAATGTGAGTGGATGAATGGGTAAACGATATCCGATTAACTTGATTTTTTACAGGTATATTCTACTTGATGTATTCTAAAATGTGAACGGTTCGAATTATCAAAATGGGCCACGAAAATGGTCCAATTGGCTGCACAGCAGTGGCTGCTGTGCACCCCCGCACAGCAGCCACACCAATATATTAGAAGATGTCCTTATTTGAAAATGGTTAGGGAAAAATATGGTATCAAATCTTTCAAAGTAAGGTATTGGTTGTGTTATTTTGAATTTTTAAAGTATTTTGTAGAGGAAAAATGCAAAAAGATAAAATAAAATCTTATACTTAATTTTTTTCCACATCTTAGTGTGATTTGGTGCCTCTCGCATTTACTTGGCGTGGGCTTTTTAGGCCATTAATCCTGGATATTTTATATAAATTACATTTTATGTATTTTATTTTATTTTATTTTTGTTTAAATAAGAAGAATATGCTTAAAATAGAGAAAATATTCCACCAAAGCTTTGAAATTAAATACAAAGTAAATATTTGTGCCAACTTAAGCAAAGTAATTAAAATTTTGTTTTACATTTGGTGAGCTTGAGTTTGAAATTGAAATTTTGTTTTAATTCCGAGCTTAGGATATGTAGGAGAGGGTTCAAGAAAGGAGTTGAAAAATTCGAAGATCTTCAAAGATCCTTGAAGAACAACTTCAAATTCTCTAGAATATGATGAGAGGCTTAGATTCTTCAATAATCTCAACTTAGGAACACAACAACAAAGGAGATGATGGAGATAAGAGATTGGGTGAAGAAGAAGGCAAAATGGCTAGAGAATAGAATAATGGCAAGGCTCTCCCATTGATCTCCCACTTTCACTTTCAAGGTTGATAATGGAGAAGGGAAATTAGTTCTTTCCCAAGAGTTAAAAATCTCCAAAATCCATCCCTTGTAAAGCTATGGGTGGGTGCTATTTATAGGCACCTCATGATGTAGGATGGAGCCCATGTGCAAGGCACATGGGGGATATTCTCTCTAACCACCTTGTCCGAGGAGGTGACCTCTCCGAGGAGGTGACTTCTCCGAGGATGAGATAACCCCGAAGAGGAGATCACTCCCTCGGCGAACCCTTCTTCTTAGCCACACCTAACCAATGATCCCCAATCATCCCAAAGGGTCAGGGGTAGTCCCAGAGGACGTCCTGCCGCAAAATATTGCCGAGTCTCATGGACCCCCCGGGGTCGTGCCACCTCGACCCGGATATAGGCTAGTTTAACCGAAGAGTGAATTTATCTCCACTCACCGTCCTCGGGATTGGGTCCTTTGTTCGAACTCCATTACGCCCATGGTTCTGGTGCGTAGATCCCGGAAAGCTCCGAGCCCGCAAGTGTTCTGGGACTCATTAACGGAGCGACTTCTAGACTGCGTCTGAATCCGTTCGAAGCCAAGTACTTCGGATCTCTAGATTCGTGGGTCCGAATCCTTTCGAGTCCGAGTGCCTCGGATCTCTAGGCTTGCTTAATACCCTTTCGAGTCCGGACCCGAGTAAGTCTCTAGGTTCGTGGACCCGAACCCTTTCGAGGCTTACAGCGATTCAATCCGTTTGATGGCGATAAATCTAGGCCCACCAATTCTTGGACTTGCGATAAATTCGGGCCCACTAATCTTGGGCTATTGGGCCTAAATAATTTAGTGGGCTCAAATTAACCCCTCTTACAGGATATAATTTTAGTCATTACTGATGTTTGGCCCGGTAGAGCTTGAGAATGAGACTTCTTTGTATTTTAGTTTAGAATGCAAGAGAATACCGA